CGACTTGTATGCCCGATGATCTTTTCCCGCTGTTGTCGACACCTCTGCGTCTATGGCGTCGGGCTCTGCACTGTCTGCGCTCTCTCTCCCACTTTTTCAACCATTTTTTTAGTGCTCGTGCCTCTCGCGCGCCCGCTGTCGTCCACAAAAAGTCGTCGTCAGCCCGTTACCTCTTTACTTTTCCGATTTTATTGGTCCGGTTCGAGACGCAGGCATTGCCGGAACCCATGGGTACGGTCCCTGACCGCGACCCACAAGACCCAGGTCCTTTTTCCCCGAAAAAACCGCGTATCGATCCGTGGCCAATGTTCGTTCGCTAGAATCTCATGGTTTCTTTAATTGTAACTGCTTTTAGGACGATGTGTGACGATATGCTGAGTGTCTGAATGAACAGTTCACTTAGAATTCAGCAGAATTGATAGTTTGTTTTGAGGCCGACGCGGTCGACGGGTAGCTTGGCAGGACAGTTCGAGGCTCAGCTTTCGTCTGTCCACTAGTAGATTGACTAGAGATGCTCACAGCATCTTTCTGAATATCAGGTACGTCACTGGTTCGGATACATTGCTCACGTTCGATTTCGGACGAAATTCTTCGTGCAATTCGCGTGTCCTTATCGGAAATTCGCTGATCTTTACCGCTAGATATTGAGAACGCGTTGTACGGGGGCTGGAAATTGCCGCAAAACGCTTCTGTCGTCCAATTCCGAAAAGATAGTGGATTCATCCGGTAATCGAGCCGATTTGCAGTGAAGAATGGCGAGTGGTACTCGTCCGAGAAGATTTGAGAAGACTTTTCTTGAATGCTTATTATAAAGCCTCCCATTCGACGATATTGTCTTTGTAGACTGGTAGGACTGCTGTTGACATTTAGGCTAAATTACTCACGATTCGCCAAAGAAAACAATGCAGCGTGTGGATTCACGAAACGAAGAAGCCGACGTAGCGGGTCAGAAGACAGCAAGTGGTGCGACGAATACGGGGCCTTTCACTACCGATGGGCAGGATTCCTTCAATTCGAGTAATGGATATCATGTGAGTATTTAGAAAGTGTGAGTAATGGTACTGAGGCTTGGGATGACGACCGGAACTTGACGGGGCACGTACTACCCTGTTGGGGAAAATCTTGCAAGTGCAACCCCAACCCTCAGTTCCCTGAATTTCCCGGTACGGTTGCAGGATCTGTCAGTCGGATGTTTTCTCGGTGTGAGGTTCAACGCTAATTTCTCATCGCATCTTCTTACGTAGCATTTGAAGGAAGAATAAAAAAAACAGGGGGGGGGGGGAAGTGAGAAGGAAAGGAAGAAAAAGAAGGAAAGGGGAAGAAAAAGGAGGAGCAAGGCCTCGCAGTTGACAGATATCCTTAGACCCCCTGGGTACGATCCCCTTTTCCTTGTCCCTTCCCCCAATGGTAACCGGGATAAGTAGCGCTCGTGAAGCAGAACGAGTGAAGAAACCCGAAAACGATTTTTCTCAATCCAAAACATACAACTCGAACCACCCTACCTCACAGCGATCGAAGACCAATGAGACATCTCGCTGAGATCCCCTGACGAAGTAAGCGCTGTTTGGCTTGATTATCAGCGATTTTCCCGGAAAGATCCGGGAACTCCGAAGAATGGATGGGTTTGTTAGGCGTGTGGGCCTGGGGGCTATTTAGGGACTCTAGTGCAAAACATGAGATTTCACAGTGGATGAAGATGGATTTTCTGCCTGATTCGGGAAGGGGAGGGGTTACGGAGTGGGTAAATTGGTATTTTGATGTTAAAGAAAGGTAATTACAGTGGAGCACAAGGAGTTCTTCGATGACTGACAAATTCGGAAAACGGGGGAGTGTTGAAATGGAGGTGGGTCACGAATTGAAAGGCTCAAGTACAACACGAGGCGAAGGATCAAGATTTCGCCCATCGGGAGGCCTGAAAGGCGCTTACTATGGAGAGACCCTCAGCATTGTGTTAGGAACCCCCATAGAACTGGACTTTCTGGATCTCATTGAGAACACGCAAAGGTAGACGCGTCTAGAGGTCATATTTCGAGCGCGGGGTGGACCAAGGGATGCGAAACTTTTTCCTTTAACACCTGCCGGGTGGTCCCGAAGCTCCTGTCTAATTTCGAGGTCCGTCGGGCGGGAGGCGGGTTTCAGATGAAGCGATGGTGTGACGTGACCTAGACGTCTACACCGCGCCTGAAACGGGAAAAATCAACCATGGAAAAATACCCCTACCTTAGCGATTAAATGCGACCACTGTGCGTGGGTCCCACAGCGATGATGTGCACTGGTTGAGTTTAACTTTCCCACTATTTTACACCGTTCTGCCTTCTCAACCATGTGCGTCATCGTTGGGACTCTTATAGGAGGGTTGCACTCAGTCAAGGGGCTTGAGGATTGTTTGCAATGGCGTGCATGGGGGAACCCCAGTGATGGTGTCGTACTTCGTCGGTAGGGAGAGAGGGTGGTATTTGTTCTGAGGAAATGGTTCGGTTGTTGACTTTCTTAGATTTTTCCCGTTTCACTCCTCCTGCCTCCCCTCCCCACTCCTCGCTCGACGGTAATTTCTTGAGGAAAAACGAAATTTTCTGCCGAAAAATGATGGAAAGTTGGAGAATATTCGGGAAGGTCAGGAAGATGGTAAGTGGGATGAGGAAGCGCGGGTCGTAGCAAAGAAAGAAATTCGGGGGAGGGGGGGGGAGGATGGGAAGGTCATAATTTGCAACATTTTTCTCCAACGGCAGGATGTGCCCTGGTTGTTGGAATACTCGGTCAGTCAGAATGGTGTGGGGAATCTTCAGCTGAAAATGAAGGTTACTTTATACGTTCTAGGTGTAGGACCTACCCTGTCGAAGGGGATGAGGTCACATTGTTGGTTGTGTTGTGGGAACCACCTCATCCAGGGCATGTCCCGCCATTGAAAGAAATTTTTGCAATATACGACCCCCTCCCCCTCGAAATTTTCTTCTCTGGTACGGCCTACTTCCCCACTCCTCATCTTTCCTACCGTTTTCTGAGTACCACTTCACTACCTCTCCCCAATTTGGTCCCTAAAAATCACTTCAATTTCCCCTCAGAAGTGCTGTCGGGGGGAGGGGAAGTTGAGGGACATACCGCACATTGAGCAGGAAAATCCGAGAGAAGTTAACAACCGAAAACATTTTCCTGAAAGTCTCAAAGGCAGATACGATGCCCCTTTCACCAGCGACCAAGTTCGACGCTCCTCCATGCAGTGATCAACTAGTGACCAATTACGCCCCCTCCCTTGCTGGTCACCAGCGACCAAGTTCGATCCCCTCCCATGTAGTGACCCATTACGACCCCCTCCATGCCGTGACCAATTACGCCCACCCTGCCCGCTTCGCTGGGTACTCTTAACC